CTCTGAGATATGAGCTGCGTTCTTTTTTGTTCCATTTATCAGAAATTGTTTTTTTATCGCTGTGTGCTCCTGTTTTGAAAGGTCATTTATGACAGAAAGAGGAAGCGATATATGTATATATATATATATATATATATATATATATATATATATTTATATATATATATATATATATATATATATATATATATATATATATATATATATATGTATATATATATATATATAAATATATATAAATATATATAATATATATATATATATATATATATATATATATATATATATATATATATATATATATATATATATAAAGAGAGAGAGAGAGAGATAAAGAGATAAAGAGAGAAAGAGAATGAGATAGATAGAGATAGAGATAGATAGATAGAGAGAGAGAGTGCAAGCTTTTCGTCCCACACAGTTCAGAATTGACAAGTAAATAAAATTTCACCGTTCTGTACAAATCCAATCAGTCATCGTGCATAACATTTGTCCTTTATCACTACAAATGAAGAGAGGGAAGGTCATGGTAATTTTGTTCATTTTACTGCTCTCTCTTTTGTTTACTGAAGAATAAGAGTGAGAATAAGACGAAGAAGAAGATTGCGAAGAAAAGTTGGAATGGAACAAAAACAAAATCTAAAGAGAAGATGGAAAAGAGGCGTAAGAGGAAGAGAAGAAAAGGAAAAGTACTAAGAAGAAGAATTAAAAAAAGAGAAATTGAAGAAAAAATATCAAACGAGAAAGAAATGATAAAGAAATGAAGAAAAAGAGATGAAAAAGAAGAAAAAGAAAACAAGAAAAAATACAGAGAAAGAAGAAAATAAAGAATAAGAAAAATGAATAAGAAGGTGACTAAGAAAATATAAGATAGAGAAGAACCAAAACAAAACGTAAAAGATGATAGGAACGATAGCAAAGAACAAGAAAGAAAGGAAAAAAAGAGAACAAAAAAGAAGATGGAAGAAGAACATGAAGAAAGTGAAGAAGGATTAGAAAAAAAAAAACAAGAGATAGAAGAAGAAAATGGAGAAAGAACGGAAAAAAGAAGACGGCGAAGATTCGAAGACGAAGAGAGAAGAGAGTTGGAGGAAGGAAGAGAGAGAGAGAGAGAGAGAGAGAGAGAGAGAGGGAGAGGCAAGGAGAGAGAAAGAGGGGGGGGGGAAGGGAAAAAAAGAAAGAAAGAGCGAGCGAGCGAGAGCAAGTTGGAATAATAATAATAAAAAAAAAAGTGCGAGTTGGAAGAAGAAGAATGAAAAAAAAAAGAATGAAAAAAAAAAAAAAAATCACGCGAACTCACCTGTCCGAGGGACTGTTCCGTTTCCTTGCTGGTGAAGATGATCCACAAACTGAAGACACGGTAAGGTAACAGACACACGAAGAAGACCACCACCACCGTCCCAAGCATCACCACCACCTGGATCCACATGCGATGATTAGCAGGGAGAGAGGGAGGGGGGGAGGGAGGAAGAGGGAGGGAGGGAGGGAGGAAGAGGAAGGGAGGGAGGAAGGAAGAGGGAGGGAGGGAGGAAGGAAGAGGGAGGAAGAGGAAGGGAGGGAGGGAGGAAGAGGGAGGAAGGGAGGGAGGTAAAGGGAGGGAGGGAGGGAGGAAGAGGAAGGGAGGGAGGGAGGAAGAGGGAGGAAGGGAGGGAGGTAAAGGGAGGGAGGGAGGGAGGAAGAGGGAGGGAGGGAAGGAAGGGAGGTAGGTACAGAGAGGGAGGGAGGGAGGGAGATGAGCAGAGGAGAGAGAGAGGGAGGGAGGGAGGGAGGGAGATGAATAGAGAGAGGGAGGAAGGATGAGAGGTAGGAAGAGGGAGAGAGGGCGGTAGGAAGATGAAGGGAGGGAAGAAGAGATGGAGAGGGAGAGGGAGAGAGAGAGAGAGTGAGAGAGGGGGGGGAGGGAGGAAGAGAAAGAGAGAGAGAGATTCGTGTGAGCTATAGAAGTGAGGGGTAGATTGGGTATTGGGGAAAATACTGGAATAGTTTCGAAGTGGAGCTGATCGGGAGAAAGACTGGGATGGCTGGAGTAGACTAGAATAAAGATTTCGAAGAGTGGGGTTTGTTAGAAAGATTAAAATGTTTGAAAAGGATTTGAATGCTTTGGAATGGACTCAGTTGGAATGGACTGGGACGACTTGGAATGGAGTAGGACGAGTTGGAATGGACGGGAACGAATTGGAATGGACTGGGATGAGTTAGAATTAACCGAGTTGGAATGGATCTGAACGAGTTGGAATGGACGGTAATAATTTGGAATGGGCTGGAATGAGTTGGAATAGACAGGATCGAGTTGGAATGAACCAATTCAATGGACTGGTGTAAGTTGGAATAGACAGGAAAGAGTTGGAATGGACTGAAAAGAGATGGAATGGACTGGTATGAGTTGAAATAGATTGGAAAGAATTGGAATAGACGGGACCAAGTTAAAATGGACTGAAATGAGTTGGAATGGATTGGAACGAGCTGGGATGAATCTGGACGAGTTGGAATGGGCTGGGAGGAATTGTTATGGACTGGGACGAATTATAATAGACTGGAACGAGTTGGACTAGACGGAAACGAGTTGAAATGAACCGGAATGAGTTGGAATGGACTGGAATGTAATCGTTTGTAAGGCACTGTAACGAATTTGTAATAATCTGGGAAATTAACATTATTTGATTCCTTACCCGCGATCCATTAACATATAGGTTAAAGGCAAATATAAACCATAATTTAAGAACATTCACAATTATTTCAATCTTTTTATGCGTGTATATGGGCGCGATGTGTATAGATGACGTGATAAAATTGATATGATTTCAGTTTTTAGCAGGGTTGACTAAAAGGGCAAGTGGTCCAAGCATATGAAGTTACACGCAGCTGAATGGATGGAAGGGTGGTATGTGTGAAGGGCTGTGACCTTTTTGCGGAGGGGCCAGTCACTATTTTTGAAGTGGGGCCAGTGACATTTTTTTTTTTTAAGAGGGGCTAGTAACCATTTATGAAGAGACGCCAGTGACCATTTTTTAAAGAAGGGCCAGTAACTATTTTTGAAGAGACGCCAGTGACCATTTTTTTTAAAAGGGGCTAGTAACCATTTTTGAAGAGACGCCAGTGACCATTTTTGAATTGTGGCCTGTGGTTGTTTTTGCGAAAGACCAGTGACCATTTCTACGCAGAGTCCCAAATTAATCTCAGTCTGCTCATGGCGGTCATGATAGTACATATGTGCGAATGATACGTATTAAAACAGCTTCAGAGTGTGTGACTCTATTCGACGAAAGAGGAAAAGATGAATATCTATTTATCAAACAACATATCTATATAAATGTTTATTTGTTTACCTTGAGTATTACCGGTGCAAATCTCGAGCTGCATGATGGCAAAACTCTCCACGGCGTACACGCTAGGTCCGTAAATAAAACAGTCTGTCTTTTTTTCTGTAAGTGTTGACTGCGTATTTTTTCCCCGTTCATTTCATTTTCAGTGCAAAATTCACTTTGGCTGTAGTGCAATATCTTCCTTTCTAGTGGTAGTGTATATGGTTATATTTTTTTCCTTCTCTACTCTCAATGTAAGACAACTGAATAATATTGTTACGTTTAGAACTTTTTTTATCGGAAATTCCCTATATGCGTTGTTAGTGTGTGAGTTTCTCGCTTTGAATTACTCCTATAGATGACCCCCCCCCCCCCCATGAAACGCTAAGTCCATTTTTCTTGACTTTTTCTGCGCACTAGCTTCTACTAATACACTTCTATCTAAACATTATATTACTTTCACAAGTAATCCATAACAAGTACAGCCTATATACCACACAATGAGATGTCAATTTACACCCTCACTGTGTCGGAACCCACTTGCACGCCTCCCCCCCCCTCCCCCTCCACCTCCGTCATGTCAAAGGCAGATATAGACTTGAGCCGCACTTCACACAATGCCTACGACCGCTTCTTGCACTGTCAACGCACCCTCTCCAAGCTCAATAAAGCCGGGAAAACAGTCAGTTTCCATTTCAGTCCGGTTGAAATCGCGATTTTACGTGCTCTCTCTCTCTTTTCCTCTTTTCTCTCTCTTTCACTTGGTTCTCTCTCTCTCTATCTATCTATCTATCTAACTATCTATCTCAGTGTCTCTATCTGTATATTTGTTTGTTCGTCTGTCTGTCTGTCAGTCTCTGTCTCTCTCTGTCTGTTTGTCCGTCTGTCTGTCTGCCTGTCTGTCTCTCCTTATACACACACACACACTCACATATGTGTGTGTGTGTGTAGGGGGGTGAATACACACATATATATAAACAGCCGTCCCCTTGCCTCTGTCCCCCCCTCTGCTTAACAATGGCAACCCACGCCGTATCCGGAGCGAAATTCGACGCCGAGCCTTCTATCAGACGCAGCTGGTGAGAGAAACGCTGCATGGAACAAACTGGAGGTGATTTATAAAAGCTGATGGTCGAAAAATGGGAACCGATAACAAAAGACGCCTTTGGAAATGCTGCAAAGAGTAAGAACCACGACCGTTTTTTATTTATTTGTTTGTGTATACATTAGCGTATATTTACATGCCATTTTATTATTCTGTTTATGAATCTCTCTCTCTCTCTCTCTCTCTCTCTCTCTCTCTCTCTATCTATCTCTCTATCTCTCTCTCTCTCTCTCTCTCTCTCTCACTCTCTCTCTCTCTCTCTCTCTCTCTCTCTCTCTCTCTCTCTCTCTCTCTCTTCTCTCTCTCTCTCTCTCTCTCTCTCTCTCTCTCTCTCTCTCTCTCTCTATATATATATATATATATATATATATATATATATATATATATATATATATATATATACATCATGTCTTTCCAGTTTCCAGTTTACAAGGAAAGCGATCCGTAGTTTCAGTGCAAAAAAACGTTTATTCTTTTTTAACACACGAATTAGTTTATTGCACTGTCGTTTCTCATTTAGAATATTCCACGAAGGTATCTTGTACAAGAGCTATTCCCACGCATATTTTGTCGGACGAAAGCAGGGAAATTGT